ATTTTAAGTTTATTCAAAATAAATAAAATATATTTCTTTTCGGTTCTTTCTAAAAACCAACTTATTTTAAGATCTTCAGCTTACTCTCTATAAAGATTTTGCCAAGCATTCGTAAACGTTCTACGCGCGATCTTTTTGCGCACAGAGCATTTTATTTTCAAGTTATCCTTAAACTTTTTATAAAATTCTTTTTTTAGTCAATCTGGAACTATTCAAGTAGTAAATTTATTTAAGAGTATATTCATTTTATAGTGCAAAACGGAATGATAACTTATCTAATTAAAATGTGCCTTTTGATGCAATACCCGTTTCAAGGAGCCTTTCACGAATCTATCAGAAGCTGAGGCTTATAGACCCGCTTCGAGAGGAAATTGCTTTTGCTGGGTGTACGAAAAATATGTCGCTGGCATTGCAACTGCCGCAATGTGTCGCGGGTAACAGGATGGGCAACGGCATCGGTTTCGGGTTCGGGTTCGGCGGCTAGTTGGTTTTTGGTAGTGGCAAAAACTTTATTTTTGTTTCAATTTGCGATAAAAACAAGCAGCAAAATAGCGACAACAGTCGCCAGGGCATCGGCAATGTCACCAAATGAAATTTAACAACTCGATGGAAAGTGGGAGTGGTCGACAAATGGGAGGGTGTGCAGAGCGTGGCAGCTGGCGTCTTGGGTCCTTTGACTTGGCACAAAAGGCACAAGAAATGCATTTGCTGTCGCTGCTTGTTTTTCAACATTCATAATAAATTTGCAGAGAACAGGCTCACGCTCACGCCCACGCTCAAACTCGGGCTCAGGCTCAGGCTCAGGCGGGGTCACAGTGTCCTGGAGTAAAACAAAAGCAAATGCAGCCAAGACACTTTTTCGTCCCGATGTCCTGTGCTGGCTCATTGCTCGCCAGTTGAAATGTAACGGATGCTGAGCTGCGCTCTGCAAATTTATATACAAACAGGATATGACAGGCAGGAAGCAGGCAGCCCCTCTGCAGCCTGTTCGCCTGTCCCCAGTGCAGCTTCTACTATTTCTGTTGCTTTTTCAAGTCTATCTTTTTTTTTTTGCCTGTATTTTAATGCTAGTCTGTTCCATCTTAAGTTGCCTTTGGCTTAACTAAACGCCGCCTCAGGGCCAGAGCGAGTTGAGCTGGCTCAAGCCGAGTTGCCTCCAGTTCAAGTGGGCAACAGAAACAATTTCTTTAAATATTTGATGCCATGTACATGCCGTGCATTTGCTATTCTTTCAACACGCTCACATGAACTACGCATATTTATTGACAAATATACACTTCAAAAGCAAATATGAAATAAATACATCGCACGAAGTTCAGCTGCTCTAAAGTCCCGTAAAGAATAGCATAACATTTATTTTCTTGTCTTCAAGCATTTGCCCTTTTTCCTTAACACATTATTTGGTTGCTTCGCTTACAATACATTCTATATGGACTCGATGTTCTTTCTAAATTAAAACAATGTCTTACTTGTACTCTATGCTCACTCGCACAGTGTTCGAGAGTACATAAACTTGTGGTAAAGCATGCAAAGACATACTTCGCTGCCCTCCCTTTAAGTCACGCTTTACAATTCTTCTCTTCAATTTCTATCAGCCTTCAAGTTTCGTTTTTTTGGAAGCACAAAATTTCTTGATATCAAACTTCCATTTGAAATCCGAAAATAAAAGACAGCTTGTTAGTAAGAAATAAAAATAAAATAAAATATTTATTTACCCTGACACAATAAAAAAAGCAGTGGGTGTTAAAAAGCGTATTTATTAGCAATTTACAAAGCGAAATCAAAGTGCTAAACTTTCAAATGGGGCAACAAAATATTTATAGCCTGCAATGCACGCAATTGTGAACTCAATATTTTAACCATAAGAGCGCGCATTATACGCATTATATCGGTAGTTATATGGCCAGTGGAAAGTACGGACTGTAAATCTGTGGACACACAACTAGCACGAGTTGCACATAAATCACGCATACGCAATGTTTTCCAATTGGTGAATACTATAAATTACCGCGTCGACACAATAAACAACGAGAAGAGACAGATGAGAGAGTCTAAAGCTGAAAACAAACCACAAATGAATGGCGAGAGAGAGAGAGAGAAAGAGAGAGTGTGAAACGAGTGAAGGCCAAGAAAAGCACTCAGAAATGATGCATTCGATTAGAAGCGACTTTAAAGCAGCTCTCAGAGCTAAGTGGCGGGGTGTGTGCATATTTTGGGCCAAATTTACAAGAGAAAATTATTTAAAAGTTTTCTCATATTTTAAATATTAAAAAATATGTCTACCATTCGTAATACGCCGATTATAATCTAACAAAAAGAATAACAAATAATCAACGCGCTACAAAATCTTGAAAAACAATTCAAGTGCAACAAATCAAAACATCACAAGCTAAGAGGTTGAGAGAGAGAGAGAGAGAGAGAGATAACAATTAAGCAGATAAAGAAGAAGAGTAGCTGTTGGGAAACAACTTTATCCCATTTCTGGCTGTGCTTATGCCTTTGTGTGAAGGGTATCATAACTTTTTTCAGGAATTCTTCTCGGTAGAACAGAAATACTTCTTAAAATATATACCATTAAATAATCTATTATATGTATATTATTGATAAGATATTCAAAATTTTATATCTAACATAACATTATTATTATATTATTAATACTATTGGCCGCAACAATAGACTCTATATAGAGGAGTTTTCTAAACTTTTTGTGCATTTTTAAGATATAACTGAAATCTTGAGTATCTGCCTTTCGTCTAGATAATTTATATAAATAGTATTTAATTTATTAAAATCAAAAATGAAAAGAATTTTGTTTTAATATGAATTTGTATTCGATTTACTGGATATACTTGCTTCAACCCAGCTTAATATTATTAATATATTATTAATAATAATATTAATATAAAATTAAATAAAACTGGAACGGTACCCGGTAAGACAGCATGGAATTAAACAATTTCTTTAATAAACTTTTTTTTCTTAACATTAGTGTATTAAAATTTTAAATATAAACTCAGATATTTTTGATAATATAGATAAGATTTGTTAATTTATTTAATTCAATGGAAAATATGTGGAGCTTGGTTGATCTAAAACTAAACCGGCTCTTGATCTAAAACTAAATTGTAGTTCAATTGAAAACTTTTGCTTATATCTTGACTAAGGAAATCTACAACAACGGGCTATATTATGCTTTCATTTAACAAAGAGTGTATTCTAGGGCTTAAAAAGTTGACTATATTTATAAATATATACATTTCCGACAAGAAAGAAATCTTGAAATTCTAATTGTTTGTGAGAGCATTTAAGCTGCGGCATGTTTTCACAATACTTTCCTGTTCGACTTTCTATCTTTATTTTGCGCTGAGGCGAGCATATAGCGCATAAGCACGTACAAATCGCATTTCTTAGGCGCTAGTCTTATCCTTTTTTATGGTTCTGTGTGTTTGTGTGTGAGTCTGTGTGTGTTTGTGTGTGCCTGCCTATAAGTATGCTACGCCAAAAGGCAACGCTTGTTTGGCTGTCAGATTTACTTGTCTACTCTCGCTCTCACTCCCTCCCTCACTCTCGCTCTCCCTCTCACTTTCACATACCTACTCCCTCTCTTCCTTTCTCACGCCCTCTGTGTGTGTGTGTGTGTGTGTGTGCTATAAATTGACAGCTAAATCTGCAAAAACATGATAAGACAAGCGACATGCCAATGCGGCCAAGAACTACGCCGGCCTGCCCCCAGCCCTGCCCCAATGTAACTGCTATCTGTGTTTATATCTGTATCTCATCTATGTGGGCCAGGCCTCTATATCTATTTAACCCAACAACAACAACAACAGAAACAAGAAGAACAACAACAACAAACATATAACCAAATATTTTGGCCAACTCGCTGCGAAATTGCTTTTCGATTTATTTTTATATGTCTGCCAAGTTGCGAGCATTGTGACAAATTAGTCTTAAGGTTTTGGCCTCTATTGTTGTTATTGTTAGTGTTGTTATTGTTGGTGTTGTTGTTGTTGCTGAGCTGGCAGTATTTTATAAGATTTTTATCAGACCAAAACATGTGCGCCAGCCAAAAAGATAGCCCAGTTGGGCTTAGGCCGCGGCTTGTTTTGATAGTAATAATCGTTATTGTTTATTTATTTATTATTTATTTAGCGAAATATATTGTTTAAATTCAAACAAAATTGCGTTACGCCGGACCTCGAGCCTGCTAAACAAAGAACTAGCATTAATTTATTGATTGCCACTTAACTATTAAAATTCTGTTAAATACTTTTTAATTTTTTGTAACTATTTATATTTATCTTTAATTTCCTTCTAACTATTTATTAACTTTATTCAAAATATTTATATTTGTCAAATTAGAATTTAGAAGTATTTAAAACAATTTTCATATTTGACGGGCAATGAATAAATATTAAATAAATATTGTCAGCTTGGGTTTCATTTTTATGTCCAAAATTAAAAACTTGTTTATTTTTAATAAAACAGTTAATTTAGATATTGAAAGAAACCTTCGCAATTTTCAATGTATGGAAAACATATTGCCAATGATTAAATGAAAATAATAAAGAAATATATATTAATATTCAACATGTGAGCCGTTTTGATATTGAAAGAAACCCAATTATATACATTAAAAAATATAGAATAAACTAAACAGAAATATAACTTCGCACGTTGCAATCTTTAAGAACTTTAAGTTTTCATATTATAACGAGTCATAGAATATTTTTTCCTACTTTTGGGTAATAATAATAATAATAACAATCATAATATTAATAAAAATAATATATATATAAAATATTAACACCTCTAAACAGTTAATAATAATAATAAAAACAAAGTATTAGCAACCTTTAGTTAAATGGCAAAAAATTAGTAACCATAATGCAATTTTTTATATGTTGTTTATTTTTGTTTTTGTCAGCTAAAAACTCGAAACAAGATTGAGACCGCGCACATAGAGGCGCTTTTCCCCGCTTCCTCCCCCCCCCACTTACCTAGGGTCTTGGTCCATTGGGCAGTGGGTCGCCAGTCGGGATAGTGTTTGGGAAAGAGTTCGCGTGTCCAATAAGTGTGCAGGACGACCTTATAGACGGCGAGGCGGTCCAAGGTGCAGCCGGTCAGCGGCGCTGGCTGTGTGGCCGCAGCGGCAGCGGCAGCGGCGGCGGCAGTTGCTGGCGGCGTATTAAGCGTGGGCGTGGCAGCATCTAATCTGGCATTCGCATCTGTATAGTAGTAATTGCGGTAATTGCCATTCACATTGGCATCTGGATTGCCATTCACAGGGGCAGCATCGAAATCTATATAGTTTTGATTGTCGGCAACTTCCCGTTGTTGTTGTTGTTGTTGTTGTTGTTGTTGCTGTTGCTGCTGATTGGCCACGGTATAGGCATATATGGCCGGATTTGATATGAAGGAGGCGCCGTAGCTGCTGCCAGGCTGGGATTGGACTGCAGCAGCAGCAGCAGCGACTGCGGCGAGCGCGCAGAGCGTCGCTGCCAGCAGCTGTTCAGATTTGAATTTCGCTTTCATTTCGCTCGATTTCGAATTTTGGACTCTTCTATTTTATTTCTTTTTTTTTTTTTTTTTTGTCAACTGCAGCCGGCCTGTGCTATTTATAGACTTTGATTATTTCTCTTAAAATATTTTCTATTTTGTTGTACACTTTACATTTGCGGCTGCTTATAAATAAATGCACGCGCACACACACTCGCACACACACACGAACACACAGACAGGCGCACGCACATGTGTAACGCGCGCGTGCTTATTTTTGGGTTCCTTTTCTTTCTATTGATATTCACGTGGAAGCGTCGGCGACGTCGTCGCGAGCATTGGATCTAGCGTAAGAGCAAGCGACAAGCACCAATAGCCAACCGTCTGCGTGCAAAGTTCGTTGCGTACTGAAATGCTGAGCGCATGTTGCGGCAGTCGCGCGGCAGCACCACGGTCCAATATCGGCAGCATTAACAGTTTCTATGCAGTGAGCGTGAGAGCGCAACGCTTGGTACATTTGCGCTCTGTGTTGGGGAAATTTTGTTCTCTAGTGTTGTTGTAGGCGAGCAAAAAACAGAAAAAGCAGCCTGTTGAGCTCTGGCTACAGTTATATGCGTGTGTTGCTCTTGTTATTGATGTTGTTGTTGTGTGTTGTTGTTGTTGTTGTTGTTGCTGCTGCTGCTGCTGCTGTTGACCTCAAGGCTTTAGGCACATTATTGCACATTTCCTTTTCGGCATTTGAATAGGCAGCGTTAATGAAGCGGTACTTGTCATGCAATTAATGGTAACTGGCAAAACGCCGGCTGGTATGCAATGCTAACTGTACTTAGCAGCAACAAAAACAACAGCTGGCAACAATGAGCACAATTTTCGATTAAAATCAATTGAAGCACTTTAATTGCTACAATTCAATTAAACAACGCGCTAATGGACAATGCACAGCCAACAACTAACAACAACAACGACAACAACATAAACAGTGAGTTCGATTTTGAGCGTGGGCCTTCACAGGGGGAAATTCTCGTTAGTTGTGCGTCGAAATTACTTTTCAATTCTTTGCGCATTGTTTGTGGCAGCTTAAGTGGAACTTGTCAAGCCAAAGTTTTAGCCTGGGCGCAAACACACAATTTGGCATTACCTGAATTGGCAACCAAAACTAGCTGCACTAAGAGAAATTATTGAAATTGTTGTGTGCCTGTTTAAAAAAAAAAAGGTGGAAGAAATTAACAAAGCTAAATATGGAACCAAGTCGAATGTTTCTTTTTTACCCTTGGTAGCCAAAACTAGCTACACTGAGCGAAATTAATGTGTTGAAAGCTAAAAAAAAGTTGGGAATACATTTTCTGGGCTAAATTTAAGAAAGAGATGGATATTACATCTTTATTTAACTATATAAACATAACTAAATGCACGGAGAGAAAAAAAAATTGGGAAAATATTTGTACATCTTTATTTTTGCCACCACCTAAGAAAGCAAACACAACTAATTGCACTGGAAGAAATAAGTGTGTCCAATTGTTTAATATAAAAACTACGAATAGCAGCATAAAATATAAAATATTTTGGCATTACCTCAACTGTAATATATAGTTACACTGCAAATAACGAATGTGTGCGTCTGTCGAAAGAGTGTGGAAATATTTTTTGTGATTAAGTTCTGAACTTCATCTAAGTAGAGCTTTATTTTTTATAACAATTTTATAATACTTAACTCGTATTTCTATAAAAATATCATCATAAACATATCTAAGCATAAAATATTTAATTCTTTTAACTAGGACTAGATGTTTATAATATCTGTACAATTATAAAAATTGTTCAAATACTTTTCAAACTGAAAAAATAAAAAACATCAAAAACAAATACATAATTAATTATTTGAAAATTCTTTACATTTATAAATGACACTTGCTTTTCGTGCAGTGTAGCTGTGCCTCCACAAGCACTAGTCCCACTGTAAACATAATTGCTATTGACACACACAAACACACGCACGCACACACACAGACACACACGCACACAAGCATACAGAATTATACTCTAGCCGAAAATGGCTGTTGGGGTCCTTAGAACAATTATGTGTTGCACTTAAACGATTTGTACGTGATGTAGATTGTGTCCTCGACTCCGCTACCCGCTATCCGCTACCCGCCCCCGCCATTGCCCCCTTCATCACAGTGTAATCCTGTGCACGGTCGCGTGCTTTTGTATGTAAATTATGCGTGCGTGAAATTTATTGCAGCTAATAATAATTGTCCATTTACAATTTGAACGGTCCTGGCTGGTCGTGGCACGCCCCCTGCACCACCTCAGCGCCCACTTGTGGTCAATTATAAACGACAATTTGCTATTTGTCTTAGACAGGTTGGCAGCGCCAGCCAGCCGTTGGACAGGGGGTGTGGCAGCTGTAGCTGATGCCCCTTTGGGGACTTTTATTGTGACTTAAATGCCGTCCATTAGTTAGAAGCTTTACCGTTTTATGGGCCACAGTTAAATTTATGCTTATTATGTGCTAATGTTTCTAATGTTTGGCTTGTGTTTTGTTTACCAAATGTCAAGCATAAATATTCGTAAGCTAATAAAGCCCGTTTAATTGAGGTAAGGTATAAAACTAAGAGTGGTGGAGTATATAAGCGCAATAGAAATTTACCACAAAGCGAAGTAATGAGTAAATATGCTCGTAACCAAAGAAATATGCAAAACAATTTTTAAATAAATATATTACAATATTTGGCATAAAACCTACATTTCAACTGTTAACAATTGCATGGGCCACCACTGTCAACGTCTGAGCAATTATAAAGGGAAATTACGCTCACCACTTACTCTCCGCACTGCCACGGCACAGGCGCAAGTTCTCTTACTCTCTCTCCCTCCCACTCTCTCTCTCTCTCTTTTACTGCCTCTGCCAGCTGCTCTCCCACACCTGTGCACACACACACTCACACATGCACGCGCGGCATTGCGTTTCATTGAGCAAAAATAAAATCAGGAAAAAAAAAATGCTCGCATATTACACGCAAATGTACCGTACAGCTGAGTGGAAAAAACACACACACACACACACATCCACAGATATAAACTCACACTAGCATAAGCACAAGCAGCGCCAATGAGCTTTGGCGCTGGCTTTGATTTCCGCTTTCATTTATTTGACTTGTATGCACACACTTACACACACACACACACACGTACACACACAGCTGTAAAATTCCTAATAAAGTTGGCATTTGCCAAACAGAGACGCAGACGTGCAGACAAACAACAACAAAGCAACAGCATAAACCGACGTCGACCCCCCGCACCCTGCTGCCGCGCCGATCACACCCGCACACACCTCTGTCAAGTTTGTTGTTGCCGTTGCTTTTATTGAACGTTGAACAAAAAACAACCAAATGCAACAGCAGTGCAAGAAGAAGAAGCAGAAGCAGCAGCAGCAGCCGAGTCCTGGCATACGTGTGCATTTCCCACCTGGGACACCTTACATTTGCATAAAAAAAGAGTAGAAAACTAGGGCTTTTTTTTATTGTTCTTCCACTTTTTATTGCTGCGCGTTTTTTAGTTGATTTGCGTTGTTTTATTTCGCTTTATCCAATTTGATTTTCTTTGTTTTGTTTTTGTGGCACTGCAAATAAATAAATCCACTCAAAATAAATGCAACCACAGCAACAGCAACAACAACAACAGCAACAACGACTCCAAATGCATCGCTGGCTTGTGACGTCACAATTCATATTGTTGTTTTCATGTACTATGCTCTGTTATGTTTTACAGTTATTTATGCCAGGCAGTCAAAAGCTTAACAGCTTCAGCTGCTGCTCAAAAAGACAACAACATAAACTACTAAGTTCTCATCATGTCTGTTTATGTGTGTGTGTGTGTGTGTGTGTGTGAGCGAAAGGTAGAATATTTGGTACTTTGTTGTTTTTGGTTGTGCATGTTCTTTTACAGTTTTTATTGGCATTTCAATTTTTGCACATTCGATTATGTTGGGGATTTTTGCCATTTACGTTTTTGCTGCAAATTCGATTGGTTTTTACCGTATTATTTACTATTTAGTTGTGTATTTGGGTTACAAACGATTTTCTTGCTTTTCTTTGGGTAAACATGAATTTGAATGAATAAAATGACTTTGAAATGTTGCCATAATATTGATTACCGAATTTTTGTCAAAAAATCCCAGAGTTGAATAGCACGTTCTCATAAGACTCAATAAGTATTCGGCACGCCAAAGATTAGATACCCTTGTAGACATTTCCCTTTTGCTGATATGTAAGAAAAGTGCTGCTCGAAAATGAGTTTGTTGAAATATCTATGAAAACAGAATATTTTGCTTTATGAGATCCCACTACTTCACCGATCTTTCCTATAGCAGCTTTATGATTAAGTGGTGCGATGTTGATAAGATTTGACATATATGTGAGAATCATAATGGAACAAATAAATCCCGAATTTGATTTCCATATCAGAATCAAATTGACAAACGGACATACTGATGGATGTAGATATTGATCAAGATCTATATGGAGTCATTTCATGACAAAGTGCGAATATCCTCTAGAAGGGTATTAAAATATGTGTAAACAATTTTCATGCAATGTTCTGCATATTTAAGCTTTTAATATATTGCTAAATTCTAATTCATAATCTTCAAATCACAAACAAATTCGAATATTCTTGGCTGTGAAAAGCGCGATGCAAACTTTCAAATTTGGGCAATTTGTTTAAATGGATTAGAAATATCAATAACAGTAGCCTGAAAAAGTAAACACTTTTTCAGCGGAATTTGACCAAAATTAACTTTGAGCAGCTTTTATTTAATTTTATTAATTTTAGTTTTTTTCTGGTAGTTTTTTACGTTATTGTCAAGCATTGTTGATAATAACTAAAAATAACAAATATTGTTATTTCATTGATTATCAATTTAATCAATTTAATCATGTTAAATGCGATGAGCATGTTTTTGTGCAATGCATTGAGTAAAACAACAATGCCCGAGGAGCTCTTGTAGGGGCTAGTTTTTAATTGGCAATTAACACAGGAATTTCATTTCAACATTTTACACTTATTTTCCGAAAAAGAAAAAAAATACCCTTTACAAAAACCAACTTTCAGAAATATGAAAAGTGAACTGTTTTTTGTTGACTATAAAACAATTTAATTGACGTGTAAATTAACTGGCTTTACGGTTGAATATGGTTTATGCAACGCTAGGATCGATTATGCTGTGCTATTTTTTTATTTTAATGCAACAACAAAAAGTTTGCGGCCACAAGAAAAAAAAACAACAACTGCATTTACACTATTTTAGTTGTGCATAGCGGAAAAATAACATAAAAAAATAGACGGGCCAGGCAAAGCTTTGAAAATTATGAGCATAAAATGTTTCATAACGCTAAATTTAAAAT